CTACGGAATTATATTTATATAATATCTCGCAAGCTTATATCTAATTAATAACCTTACTTAATTGCAATTTCTATATTAACCCACCCTATAAGCTTACTAGAGAACTAAATCTAAAGGACAATTCTGTTCTAAAAGTTATAAAACTACTATATAGTATACCGGAAGCTAGGAACCACTAGTTTAAGACTTACTATTCCTACTATATTAATAAGCTCTCTATAAAATAGTCGACTTATAACCCTTACTTACTCTATAATAAGTAACCTTTCGGAATTATTAGCCTTTAAACTAATAATACCCTATTTATTAGAACTAATGATTTTGTAAAGGCAAAGTAACTAAAGCTTTATAAGGCTAAGTTCTTGGCTAAGGAGTATAAATCCCTTACTTTTAACTATAATCTCAAATTTAATAGAGATATTATCTATATAAATACTACTAGAATTACTCTTATATAGGAATACTAGTATAAGAACCTCCAAACCATTTCTATAAAAAATACTATTACTATAAATAATAGGGGTACTATTTATTAAAATCTCTCTATTAAGAACTAATATATTACCTAATATATAAGAAAAGTATATATTATATTAGTCTATTAACTAGAAGCTTTATATAACCTATTAATTACTACTTAAGCTATTAAACCCTCGGAAACTACTATAAAGGCATTTAATAAGTATATTTAATAGTAAATTGAGAATACTACTAGAGAACTAAGATTTATAAAGCTAGTAAAGAAGTTCTTATATTTAATCGTTTTTATAGATACTTTATTCGCAAATAATAGAGATCTCTCTTCCCAAATCGGATATATTCTAGTTCTAATAAATAAAACTAGATATACTAATATTATTTACTAGTCCTCTACTAAATACAAGAGAGTTACCAGAAGTATTCTAGCTTCGGAACTCTATAGTATGGCTTACGGTTTTAATATAGGTGCTTTAGTTAAATCTATAATTAATAGAGTACTAGAAATAGAACTACTACTAGTCGTCTATACGGATTCGAAGTTATTATATAAATATCTCATTAAATTAGATACTACTCGAGAGAAACGCCTAATAATTAATATAATATGCCTTTGCCAGGTATATAAATAATGAGAAATTACGGAAGTTAAGTAAATTAAGAGAGAATCGAATCCTGCCGATTCCATAACGAAATCAAAGCTAACAAATACCCTCAAGTGCCTAATTAATATGAATACTATATAATTAGATATAGAGAAATAGGTCGAGTACAAATAGGACAGAAAATAGATATATAAGATAGGAGGATATTATGGGAGGGGAAGTCATATATAAAAGGCCGCGGCCTTTGGCATATAACCAAAACCTCAGAAGCAATATGGATATATAGAGTATTTGGGAAATCTGGTACTAGGCCGGATTAGGGAATTTGCATGCAATCGGAGGGAGATACTATTTTTCGTATTTTTAGAGAGTTTCCAGTATTGGTATAGCTATTCCTCTGGGAGTCACGTGTATAGTCACGGGACACGGGATACGGGATATAGGCAATGGGTAATAGGATATGGGCAATAGGACATGGGATACGGGACATGGTTATATGACCTCGCGTCCTATTAGTGACTCGACCAGTAAACTAGACCCCTTTAGGCTTAGCAGATTTAGAGATCGCATATTAATACTATAATACTATAATCCCTACTTCTGAATAACAACTTCACTAACCTTATACAAATAGCACTTCCATGCCTATGTAACGGTACTATATATTCCTAGTAAACTAATATAAACATTTATAATATAGTAATTAATAAAACAAATATTAGTATTAATATTAAAATAATAAAATACTAGATTTTTTCCCGAATTATAAATTATAGCTTATATATTTATATAATATTTATAGGCTTTATTATTAATAAAATATACTTTTCTAGTTATTTTTTTTGAATTTCTTTAATTATATAATTAAGAAATAGATTTTATAAACTATAGCTTACTTTTTATAAATAATAGCTCGAATTCTTATAATAATACTATTTATAGCTTTATTAATAAAGAAATAAATCTTAATTTTTATAAAGCGGAACTAAAACTATCTAATAATCTAATAATTAAAATATTATTATTAAAAGTATTAAAAATATAAGATAATTATATAAAATTATTATTTTATAATAAAAGAAATATAAGATTAAAAAGTATTTCTAAATAAGAAATAAAATGAGAAATAGCTAGTAATTTTCATATAATAAATAATACTGAATTTATAATTATAAGATTAAAAATAAAAACAAAAGGCCTTTTTATTTAATTTAGAAATAGTAGTTTACTAATTTTATATAGCTACTATTCTCGTTTTCTTATAGGATATTAAAGTCTATAAATATTAGTAAAAGAAGTTACTAAATAGATTATTATTAAATAGGCCTTAATATATAATATATATATTATAAAAGATCTAATAAACTAATTCAGAAACTTAAACTAAATTTAAATATTTATTATTATAGTTATTATATAAATAGTAAGCTAGTACTTATAGGCTATTATTACGGAAATTAAAATTACTATTATAGTTATTATAGCCTCTTTAGTAAAATCCGTTTTTATAATTATAGTAGCCTCTATTATTATGAAACCGGGCTCTGGGTTTAGAAAGCAGATAGAATAGCTTTTAATCCGAGGATTCTAAACTAAGGAAGAAAGCTTATAAGTATAGGAGCTTGGTATTCTAAATACTAGCCCTAGCCGCATGCGTTATTGCAATCACGTAATACTAAATTTACTAGTAAAGCAGTAGAGTATAATATCTATAATAGTTATTTTAATATTTATATCTATTATAATATTTTCTATAGTTATTATATTTATTATAATTCTTATATTTTCTATAGTAATTAAACTAATTTTAATTATTATATAAGTATTAATTACTTTTATAATTATTATATATTTCTCGATTATAGCCTTTACTATTTTCTTTTTAATTTAGATATTATTAATTAAGCTATATAATAATTAAAGTATTTAATTATTATTAATATAAGTTATTAAGAATTTATACTATAGCTTCTTATAAAATATAATAAGGAAAATTAATAAAATAAGAGTTTTTCTAGTTTTAGTAACTCTAGTTTCTATTATTTTAATAATTCTAATATAAATTATATTAGTTATATTAGCTATACTAGTTAGAATTATTAGTAAAGCTTTTTATATTTAATTTCTTAATTGTTTTATAAATAGAAATATACTAGTTTCTAGCTAATACTTTTTATATATAGATATTAGCTATAAATTATTTAATAATATTAGTACTATTAAGCTTAATTACTAGTTTAAAAATAGAATCGAGTTCTTTATAGAAATATTAGATAATTAGGTTCTTATTAACTTCTCTAGCTTTAATATATAGAGCCTGCTTCTTATATAAATAGTTTTATATAAGAAGTTCGGATTTCTTATTAAAAGAATATTATATATAATTAGTTTCTTATAATATAATTAATATATTTATTCGGAATTATATAATAAACTTAGTTATTTATAGCTAGTTAAATAATAATAAAAAGACTATTAAACTATAACTAAGCTACTTTCTTTATAGCTTTAGAAAACAAGCTAAGAATTACCTTTTTATTATATAGCTCTATTATATATTTTAAGTAATTAATATATAATATAACTTGAATAGTATTATTATATTAGAGATTATTAGTCTTAAGCTTATTAATATACTAGATTTCGGATTATTTTATAGAAGTATTTTAATATTACTATTATTATTATAATTAGTATTTTCCTTAATTAGATGAATTAAAATATATAGAACTATTTCGGAATTGTTTTATAAAAGCTATAAATTAACTAATATTAGTAATATAGCTATTTCTATTTATAAGATCCTATATAGCTCTAATATAGTTTAAAGTATAGATCTCTAGTTTAATAATATAGATAGTAGCTATAGCTATTATCTTATTAGTATTATTAAAGACTTCTATTATTTTAAGATTTAAATAATTTATATAGATTTATTTCTAAGCCATTTTAATAAAGGCTATATTTTTAGTCTATTACTTTATAGTATATTTTATATTTCTTATAGAAATAGCTATATTATCTAGTATTTCTAAAGTAAATCTTTTTAGTAAATCTTTTTAGTATTTTCGAAAGATTAAAGAGAAATAAATAGGCTTAAATAAGAATTTTAGATCTAGCCTTAGCTAGACTAGTAATAATTATTATAAGCGGATAAATAATAAGTATATAAGGTTTTAATAAGACAGAGAATACTATTTAAATAGTAAATTCTCGGAAATAGGAGATTTATCTTATATAGGCTCTTAGTAGTTCTAAAGAGCCAGACGAGATATAATAGATTAAGGTATAGCTAAATAAGAAATAGCTTAAGGAAATAGAAATATAGTAGTTTGAGGTCTTATTTTTATAGGTTAAGGAGCTTTCAAAAGAGAAATAGAAACGGTTAAGGTAGGTTTCGAAATAATAGGGAAAGCTAGAGAGGGTTCTATTTGAGAGGGTCCTGCTAGGGAGAGTTCTAAAGGCTTCTTCCGGAATTAGCTATCTACTTCTCAAGCTCTATACTTTTAATTCTTTTAATTTCCAGTCAATATCTAGCTAATCTATAAGAAATGTTATAGTATAGTACATATAGTATAACTACTAAAGACTATATAATTCTTCGATTAGTAATTTGGATTCGAATTGATAGCGGATTGAGAGGTATATGGGGGTTAGTTAGAATCGCGAATCTGGTTACGTATACGAAAATTGGGCTTTTTCTTGAAAAAAGGAGGTCAACTCAAGAATCTTGGGGTATTACTACCATATTACGACCCGTGGCTGGTGTTCTGGAAGCAGAATCAGCTATATTGGGTGTATATGTAAAACGTCTAAAGAGAGAAAAGAAGAGAGGAGCGGGGAGCTCGAGCTAAGTACAGGGTGCCACGCTAGGGCCAGGTCATGTGACGCTGACGTCACAACAGCACTCTTCCTACAGAGTGGCCAGGCCAGGAATCCATCCAATGTCTGGTTCGCAAGTCTGGCGGTCTCTTCATTTGGGCTGCAACTGCCTGTTGATTTATCCGCGAAGGTAAAGGACGCGCCGCAGAACGACTAGGCATGATCGAGGGCGGCGGCTCCTCTGTTAAAGGACCTGAACAGAAACTGAACGAGATATACATCACCGTCCTCGAGAACTCTGTTGGCCATGACTACGATGATGAAGAGAGAGAGGATTCGTACGAAATGCTGAGAAAAGTTCTTGGAAGTATCGTTATTCTCTTTGCGCCCCTCTCTACCCAATCTTTGACCAGGTTGCTCGATATCCCAAAAATAAAAGTCGACCAGACGTTGGAAGATCTACATGCCATCCTGGATATCCCAAAGCTGCAAAATCGCCTGATCCGTCTCCATCATCCTTCATTTCCTGACTTCCTTCTCGACAAAGACAGGTGCGGTAATCACTTCTGGGTAAATGGGAAGCAAGCACACGAAGCTTTAGCCATGAGCTGTATACAGCTTATGTCAACTTCTCCGAAGCAAGACATCTGTGGCTTAGACGCTCCCGGCGTGCCTGTAACCGACGTTGCAAACAGTCGAGTGGAGCAGTGTCTTCCTTCTGAGCTTCAGTATATATGTCTCCACTGGATTCAGCATCTCCAGAAGAGCAGTATATAGCTTTGCGACAATGGCAAAGTACATCGGTTCTTGCAGAAGCATCTTCTTCACTGGTTTGAGGCCCTGGGATGGATAGGGAAGGTCTCTAAAGCGATTTATGCCATTGCTTCCTTAGAGTCTATTACAATGGTAAGCAAGCCCTAGCGCGATATTAATATTTAGTTAATATTTAATCCTAGGCTTGTAACTATCCACAAGTAACTAAATTTGTCCATAATGCAAAGCGATTCGTCCTCTATAATAGGTCAGTAATCGAGCAAGCTCCCTTTCAGGTATACTCGAGCGCACTCGTATTTGCGCCGCTAATGAGCATAGTGAGAAAGCAGTTCAAAGACAGCGTACCTCAATAGATACGAAGATTACCAAAGGTTGAGAATAATTGGAATGCATTATTACAAACGCTCGAAGGCCATTTAAGTCCTATTGACGCCATAGCCTTCTCGCCGGACGGCAAGCTACTAGCGTCGGTATCGGGCGACGAGCCATTGTCGCAATTATACGGCAGCACTATTAAGCTGTGGGATGCCGGCTCGGGAGAGGTTCTACTGACGCTCAAGGGCCATCACGTTAAGCTGTGGGGCGGTATGGAAAATATTCTTTGGCTTCCTTCTGAGCATCGAGCAAACTATATCGCTGTTTACGGGAACATTATTGGTTTTTGTTATCCGTCTGGACGAGTGACATTTATAGAGTTTAGTTTCTAAATATTCTCTTCTCCTACTCCCCGCCCACCTCCGTTATAGATGACGTCCTTTTATAGTATAAGAGCAACGAGATTAGCAATTCCTTATTGGAAAGAAAATCAGTGTGCCCCTGCCAACCCCCGCAACACCCCTGTTTTGCTCGCGTTGCATTCCTAAGACATGGGTATATGCCCAAAGGGGAAATAACAGGAGGCCAACTCTGATTAGAACGCATAAGCACCCTCTCTGGGTAAACCCTAGAACGGGTGCTTATGCAATTGCAATTGAGAATTGGATTCCCTTCTAGCCCCCTTCCCCCACGTATAGTAAGCTAAATTCTGTAATTTTATTATAAAGTAAGACTTTCTTTTTCGGCTATTTTTAGCCCGTAGCGTGCGCACAGAAGGTGAGCAAGACGTACGTCCCTCTGTGCCTTTCTTACCTTCGCTTAGGAAGTATATCCTCAAGGTATACGCTCCTGTAAGGTGCCGAAGGTGCCGAACGCCGTGCCCCTAGCCTACTAAGCTCCTAGTATTAGTAGAGAATATACTTTAAATATAGATGTGCTTCGTACGCAGATGTATCCCGTGCCCCATACGCCGTAACGCGCCGGAGGCGCGGTACGGGGTGCCCCTAGCCTATTAAGGTCCTAATATTTGTAGAGATAAGCTTTAGAACTCCCAGAACTAGTACTCTGTCTAGTTAGTGATATTTAATTAGAAATACAACGGGCTTTGAAATCAATGGCTCTAAAGGACATAGGTGAAGTGCATTAAAGGTTGTATTAAGTATATATAGTAATATTTAAGGATTGGGGGAAAGCAAAAAGTAGATGATTATAATCAAGGGACTAGAGTCTACCGTCAGCCATAGGTGGGTCAGCGAGCTGCTGGCACGTGCTAAAACCTTTAATCCTCAGGCAGAAGTTTAATTCTGTTATGTTGTCACGTGTTGATCTCACGTAACCTATACTTACTTAGTTTACCGAGCACATCCGAGCCTTCAGCTCTCTATTATCGATATTATATTACATACACCTGCATTTCATGCAACATATGTGATGTAGTGGAAATAACGCCGATGGCGCCGACGTGACGAAATTCTCAGGCAGGAGTCTCCCTATACAGCAGGGAGACAAGCGAATTCAGGGGTCTAGAATGAGGCTAACCATAGAGGGTTAGTGTCTATCAGATATGGGTTAAAAATAAAATCACTCAGTGTTCGGAACTGAAGCCGATTTCGAACTTTACTATATACCTTTTTTATATTAAAAAAAAAAAGTAGAAAATTATTTCTTTTTAAATTATATAAAAAAGATAGTAAATAGTAATATATAAAGGTCGTGGGTAAGAACTATAAACTAGAGTTGTGAGGAAAGTTATAGTTTTAGTGAGGCGAGAAGTGCGAAGTGGCGAGTGGCGAGTTGCGCTGGGACTAATCGTGCGTCGAGACTAGCACTAAAGCCCCTGCGTCCCTGCGGGTTTAGTGCGTATCAGCGATACGGTCAAAAATCAGCGATACGGTCATTTTTTTAGAATACCAATTTTCCTAATTTTAGTGAAAATCAGAGAAAAATATTTTACAGTTTATATGGAGTTTATACTATATTTAATAAATTAAATTCTCTTACTTTCATATTACATATGTATATAGTAAAAAATGGTGGAAATATTACATACTTCACCTTACTAGCGACCCCTCCCAAAATGCTACCAACTTAGAAATCAATTAATTACAGAATAACTATATCCTAAATCGTATACCCAATAATAGTCTCCTCTCTACTAGCTTCCAATCTGACTATATAACCAAAGCCATTATCATAAAATAAAGGGGGAGGGGATAGTAGTCTAACAAAACCAAGCTCCCTAGCTAGCATTTCCACCCGCATATTACCAAACTCACTAACCTATTCCTCCTAGTATCCGGGAGAAGCTAGCCTAAAATCTATCTTATTCGCATAAAAGAGCTCTATCTTGCAATTAATTTGCCTCTGTTCTGCCTATTTTACTATTAATTTTTAGTAGTGAGCCTTTAGACTAGTTTTACCATATTTAATAAATAGTAGTTTATCCCTATAGCCAAAGGGCTCCCCTAAATTATACGGAGCTATTTCCTCCCGAGTACGTCTCCTATATAGAAGCTTACTAGTAATATGCTTTGTAATATAGGTATTAGTCTCCCTGATTCGGCAATTTAGGTAGGTATTAGTATTCATCTCTTTAGGAATAAAGAGAGACTCTCTGCGATATGCGATTTGACGTATAGCCGAACCCTTGGATATAACTCTATACTTTTGTATATACTTTCTGCCCTTCTTATCTAGCTTATTATACTATTCCTGGAGTACTACCTTTTCCCTTACAAGCTCTCTTTCCATAATTAGCCCAGCCTTAATTAGCTTAGGCTTAGTCGACTTCTGGTATATCCTCTAAGATCTCCAAAAACTTGGTATAAGAGCGTATTTCTTATTATCCTTTATAAGGATAAAATAATCGTCTAAACATTAATATATATAGGTATTATATATTATATGATTTATAGAGGTAGGGGGGTTTTGGAAAGGTTTTAATAATAGAGGGATTTGCGGGGGTAAAGGCTCGATTTGCTTGTCTACTATAAAATTAGCCTATATTACTATATAAATTACTAATTAATAAACCTTCTTTTGGTTCGAATTAAGCTAGCTTCTCGTATATATACCATATTATATTAGGTCCTAATAGGCCCGCTTTGGTAAAGGCACTAATAATAGTCCTATATTTGAATGTCCTCCTATAAACCGTCTGGTATGCCCCTAGAAAATCAAGCTTGGTATAAATAATATTACTATACTAAATCTTATTATAAATACTAATTTAATACCAGTACTTGAGAGATTAAAAGAGGCCAATATTGAGCGGTTAAAGGAGATATGTACTATATAGTAGTAGTTAAAAGGGGACGATCTTGTGGGACTAGTAATAATATAAGAACTCGTCTAAAGTATGGGAGCCATATCCGTCAAAAATCAACATCCTCTATTTGCCTTGTATATATTAATATATCTGATTATGGAAGTACTTAATATATTTCAGGCTTAGAGTATTGTTTAAATACCCAGTAGAGCTCGTAGCAAAGACTAATTCGGTATCCAGATTATTATTAAAGTATACCTCTACCAGGATCTTCTCCTTTAAAATAAGGAATAGTATAATTACTTTGCCCCCAGCGGATACAGTTTTGATTATAGTAAGTGATTCTCGATTATCGGGATCTGCCAAGTAGATAGCTTTCGTATTAAGGTATATAATAACGATCTTTCTATTTAAAACGCTAATACAAAAGCCCGTTTCGTCCATATTCCATATGTCTTCAAAGCAGATCCCATACTTCTCTAATACCCCATAATACTCCGTAAAATGCTCTTCCAGATCCTTCTTTCGATATGCCGCCTTCCGCTCTTGTACTAGTGTCTTTATGCAAAGGGTTTTAAACCATTATTATGCCTATAGGCGGTTCACTTGGTAGGTGGAAGCACTATCCCCAAGGATCTTATTAGCCGCCGCCCGTACTGTCTTGAGATCAGCTCTATGGCCTAAATAGATCATAAAATTAATAAATTGCTTTAGGGCCTCCTCCTGATCAGGATTAAGGACCTTGTTGAGGCCCCCTTTGGTGTTTTGTGGTATGCGGCCAGCCAAATACGCTTTCCAGAGGCGTAATTTGACCCTGAATTAACGCGCAATCGTAGATTTTTTGACGTGTGGGTTCCTGGTATAGAAATCGGAGGCCTGGGCCATCCTTTTCTCTTCTTCTGGGTCGAATTTGGCCATGGTATTAATATTTAATCAATTAAAATCGATATAATAGTAAAAAAAATGACCGTATCGCTGATTTTTGACCGTATCGCTGATACGCACTAAACCCGCAGGGACGCAGGGGCTTTAGTGCTAGTCTCGACGCACGATTAGTGAGCCTAACCGCTTTCCCCACCAATACCATCTGCGCACTTGGTCGCTGTGGCTACCGGTAGCCATCGGTATTAGGCCCCAATCTGCCTCTCATGCCTCAACTTTCAATTCTGGTCCTTAAACAGTTCTTTGGTACTTGTCCTGACTCTCGCGATCCTTCGCCAGCACACGCAATCACACCTAGAATCATATACGGACAGTACGGTCATGGACGGATTGTCAGCCTTGTCGGTTGCTGCGAGTGTCATTCAGTTCGTTGAGTTTGGCTGCAACCTCCTATGCAAGAGCCAGGAGATTTATAAATCAGCTCATGGAGCATCGATTCAACAGATAGAGTGTGAGGTCGCTACCAAGCGTCTTCGAGAGTTGAGCGTAACATTAAAGCAATCCCTCGAACTGCATACTGCGTCGCCAACCGAACACTCTAAGGCTCTTGATGGCATCTGCAATGACTGTCTCGCCGTCTCAGATGAATTGATTCTGCGTTTTGACAGACTACGGTTACCAGATGGGGACAGACATCGGAAGTGGAAAAGCTTTCGGCAGGCTCTTAAAACGGTGTGGTCGAAGGCTGCAGTCGACGAGCTTGCCGCGAGACTAGAAGCCCACAAAAAGGAGCTTGACTCGCACCTACTTGCCTCTCTAAGGTAATATGCAATACTTTCGTAGCCTGTCTGCATTGATACCGATGCCAATTCATACTGACCGACTTTGTACAGTGAGAGGTTCCACAGTCTTTCCATTTTACAAAATAAGAATTTCGAAATTCTCGACTCGACCTTGAAGCAAGGTATCGAAGGCGTCGTGAAACAACTCAGGATAATACACTACAAGCTTGAAGAAAAGCGCGAGGATATTGTCGACGAATGGTTCTTAGATAACCTCAAATTCGAGACAATGGCACATAGACACGAGTCAATTAGAGACGCTCACGAGAAAACATTCTCCTGGATCTTCCACCGCCCTACGGCTGGTCAAGGGGCCTCGAGCGCTACAGCATATCCCAGACCTTGGAGCAGTTTTGCGGACTGGCTGCGTGCCGATGGATCTATTTACTGGATAAACGGCAAAGCAGGCTCTGGAAAGTCGACGCTGATGAGGTTTATAACCCACCATTCGGAGACAACGGCTCTTCTGAAGGCCTGGGCAGGAACAGCAGATCTTCAAGTGGCATCTTTCTACTTCTGGAACGGCGGAGCTTCGGAACAGCGATCTTTTGATGGGCTCTTGCGAACTTTGTTGTTCCAAATTCTACAGGACTGCAAACATCTCATTCGCCACATCTTTCGGGAAGAATGGGACAATGCGTTTGCACTGGCGTCGAAGAAAGAGACCTTGCACCATTCACCGTGGAGCTTCAACAGACTAGAGAAAGCATTTGAAGAACTTGCAAACCTCACTTTCAATGCGTTGAACTCGTTCAAACTTTGTTTGTTCATTGACGGTCTTGATGAATTCGAAGGCGACCACCTGCTTATGATCGAGCTTTTGCAAAGGATTGTCCAAAAGCCATGTGTGAAGGTGTGCGTTTCCAGTCGGCCGTGGCTAGTCTTTGAGCAAAGCTTCCACTCATGTAGCCACCTTCGATTACAGGACTTGACTTATCCAGATATCAGCAAGTACGTCTCTGATTTGTTTTGCATCAATCCGAGGATGCGACAACTCACAAGGAAGAGCCAAGAACTTGCAAAAATATTCAAGCAAGAGATCGTATTAAAGGCAAATGGGGTCTTCTTATGGGTTCGACTTGTTGTTCCGTCCATTCTGGATGGCTTGGGGAATTATGATGAGATTGCCGATCTTCGCAGAAGACTGAAACTTATACCTCCGGATCTCGATACCTTGTACAGCCACATGTTAGATTCAATTGAGCCAGTGTATCTGATTCAAGCTTCGAGAATCTTTCAGATCTTCAATGCAATTTCAGATCTCGGCCTGCGGCCCACGGTGTTGATGCTCGAGCAGGCTGTGGGAGCCACGTATGGGCAAGCTGTGAGAGGAAACGCTAGCACTATGGGCGACGAGGAAATTGGAGCAAGATGTGAGAGAATGACTGCCCATCTAAAGGCTCGTTGTCAAGGTTTGCTTGAAGTCCATGATATCCATGACCGAAAGTGGGAGGATGCTTTCGAGGATGCTTACGAGGATGATGATACCCTCGACGACACTCTCGACAATACTCTTGACAACACTCTTGACGATACACCAATTGAAAGAACAATAACCAGAACAGCCGAAAGAACAATCGAGGAAACCCGGACAGACTTGAAGGTTTTTTACCTCCATCGTACTGTTAAGGACTTCTTGAATAGCGATGCCATTCAAAGGAGACTAGTTTCAATTTCAGGAGCCGAGCAGGAATTTGATCCACATGCGTCACTTCTCATGTCATATGTCATAATGCTAAAGAGGTGTAAATGCTTATTGCTCGACAAGATTTCCCAACCCGCAAATGAGCGTGTATGGCTAGTCCTAAGAGATGCGTTTTCGTCAGCTAACATCGCCCAATCAGCGAAAAGAACCAGAGTACCCCGCCTTATGGCTCTGCTGGACGCTCTCTATCAGTGGTCGGAAAATTGGTGGCTAGAAGACATTGAAGACGGAAGTTGTGTCGAAGGCTTTGCACACTATATTGTTACGGGATTTCGAAATTCCTTCCTAGCACTCGCTGTATGTTTTGGACTCAGCTCATTTATCGACCATCACCTAGAAGAGGAAGATCCCTTGTCGATCGAGCCGGAATCCGCGCCATTACTGGACTATGCCGTCGGTCTTCATCAACCTCTTAAACGTTACTTACATCCAGCAATAAACTCTATCCCTTCCAGTATGATAGAAGTACTTTTACGACATCACAAAGATTTTCAACAAAGCCCGGAAAATGACAATTCACCGTGGGCCTACAGTGTGTTCCGCGCCTGGAGGCACTTTCTCGACACTCTTAGAGATGCCCGTGAGCATGACAGCCTAGAAGAGTTGAGTAACAAAGCACGGATATTCAAGCTCTTCTTGGGATACGGTGCAAATATCAACATCGACTGCCGCAGCTTGGGATATGAACCAGACCGACGTGGACGATGTTCTCTTGGCATGGTCATCGACGCTGTATTTACTCCTGATCTTCCTGACGAGGCTGCCAAACTACAAGAAGAGTTAGAGAATAGGAGAATTATTAGAATTGAAAAGAGGCCCAGAGAAGAGTCGGTACCATCTGGCAGCAAACGTCTTCGGACGAGTTTCAAGGAGAGTCGGAATGCAGACGGTAAGGTCTGCATCGAATTGTTGGATGAGAATGATTGAGCCTATCTGGAATACAACATCTTCCAAACGCTTAATCCTGACATTGGCGCTACAACCGCTTGACTTGCAAGAGCCTGCACTAGGGGGATCGTTGAAGGATGACACGACTGTACATGGAGACATCTGGCATCGTGGCCGTCACCTCTGAGGTCCAATGGTCTCTAATACCCCGGATTCTAGAATTTCTGAAATTGATGAGACGCTTCACAGGCTCATTACCCTCTCAAATAGACGTTCGACGTGACTCAGTCATGTGACTCATGGTCACAGGCAACCTTACCTCAGCGGGCTCAGGCCATTTTGGGTCTAGCCTCATGTCCGATAGTGACTATACCTAATCGAGAAGTCACATGAGGACTAATCGGATAACATGACCCAATTATATAATTAACCTCAAGCGATCCAATCACCTCTTAAAAATAGCCTGAGCTTACTGAGGTAAAGGCAACCGTGACACGTAGTCCCGTGACATGGTGCGTAGAAACCAAGTGGTATATTGTGGGAGGGAAACTGCGACAAGACAAAAACCCACATAAAGTACACCAGAGCATAAAACGTGACTTGACAGCAAAATAATAAATTAAAAGCGTAAATAGTAAAATATTAATAGTATACAGTATACAAAAGCTTAATTAATTAAATACTGAGAAGGGATTATTCTCTAAGACTATCCCTTCGTCCGGTAGAAACTGTCCACACTAGCAGGGGGGCCTGGCTCAGGGCGAAAAGGCGATAGATGACTAATAGGTTTCTAAGCAAAGGCACACGTTTTCGCCCTGAGCCAGGCCCCCCTTGCTAGCGTGGACAGTTTCTACCGGACGAAGGGATAGAAAAACCAGCTTTCTTATATAATTTCCGCAAGTTACATATAAAAGGCCGCAGCCTTTACCATATAATTAAAACCTCAAAACCGCCAAAATAATATGATTTTTAGAGAGTATAGCCTGCTATATTATATCCGACTCCCTATTTATTTATACTTATTTCCTAAATACTAAAAATAATAGAAAAATTCTATTTAGAATCCGAAATAATAAAATAATTAGAATCCTCTTCTATTAGCTAATCTAATTTCTTCTTAATATACCTAAAATAAGACTTATTATTCTTAAATAGTTTTATTTTATATTCTCGAACTTGCTTAAAGGTAACCCGAACCTACTTAGCTATATTCTTATACTAAATCCGATATAGTTTTCTATATTAATTAGTATTTGCCTTTAACTATTACTTAATTTCTGCCTTTATTACTAGATATTAAGAAGGCTTATTATAGCGAATTATATTATAAATTATACTAATATACTTCAAATAAATAGCTTCTTTAAATTTCATATTATTTGTAATATCCTTAAATTAACCTTTAATAAGAGGAGAAAGCTTTAGATAAAAGGCTTTAATAATCTTATAAAAGATTCTATTTTCGTATATTCTATTCTTAATAATAATTAGATTTATTAGAATTATAGTAAAAGGCCTATTAAATAATAAATTATTATTAAGCTATTTTTCGGCCTTTATATTATTCGAAAATTATTACTTGCTTATAATTCTAAACTTATAGATTATCTAGCTAAAGGCATTTATTTATTTATTTAGTTAAATAAATTATACTTAAAGTCTTTTCTGCTATTACCTTTAATAAATACTTACCTATTTCCTTAGCTATTTCTGGCTTAAAATTATCGGAAATAGAAAAGTAATTAATATCCTTAAAGAACCTCCTACTAAAGATAGTAGCCTTCTTATAGTTTATAAGGAAAATATAGCTAATATTCTAATACTTTTTACTAAAATAAAATTCGCTACTTAAAGCTTTAGTAGTAGCTAGATCTTTAGTATTATTACGAACCTGTAAAGGGAGCTCACGAATAGAGCGCTTGCGAGGGAATTGTTTATTGAGAATTCTAAGGTAAGGAAAGAAGAAGAGGTTTCTCAAGGAGAGAACCGAGCTTAAGTACAAAGTGCATGCGCGTAGCTTAGCGAGCTAGTTCTAATTAGGTGCGGAGCACGTGACGTGACGAGAACTGTCACATTACCCCCCCCTTTGAAAAAAGCTTGTCCTCAAGCGTGTAAAGCGTATAAAAAAGAATTGTGCTCCGGTATTCCCTTCCAATTGTCCTGCCCTGCCCTGCCCTATAGGGAATTATCCTTCGGCATTTGCCTCCGTATAGCTCCAGTATATGCCTCCGTATAGGTCAGTCCTTTCTCCAGTCCATACCTCCGTTCAGTACAAGTATATCCTTTGGCGGGCGGATACCCTTGTACTATCCCCGCTTTTATAAGACCTGGTTCCCAGGTCTCATTAAAAAAAAAATTTCCTCCCTTCCATCGCTATTGCCAAGCTCGTTACATATAGAGCTATTCGTGGAATTGAGAGAGAGAGAGAGAGATTTTACGACCTTCTCAGGCGCGCGTGACTAGTAGGATCTGTCTAAGCTTAAAGCCTCCAGGAACGTTAACGAGGCGTTCAGATCGAACAGGGCTACTAACGAGGTAACCTGATCTAGCAGGAGCTTCCAAGCCTGTATCCATTTTCGAGAGCAGTAAGGTTACTGGCCTGTGGTGCCCAGAGCTCTGGGGCTTGATCGAAAATAGCCTTTGAAAGTGAATTCGTAAATTTCGAAGGATTCGAAGCTTGACGGGTACGGAGGGGAGGGTTCGACGTGGGTATTGCAGAGGATATCGTCTCGTACGATTGGCGTAGCAGTCAGGTGCAAGCTCTATTAGGAGGAAGAGATATTTTACGACCTTTTCAGGCGATACAGTACTACTTGTTTAAGGCAGGAGGAGAAGAGAGGACCGCAGGCCTTACAAAAGGGGCTCCCAAGAAGCACTTGCAAGTAATGCCGTAAGTCGAGGAGGAAGGCAAAGGCGAAGGGGTGAGTATTTTACGACCTCTACAGGCACGCGCAACCGGTGGGATATTCTAGAGCCTTCCCAGGCAAAGTAGTAATCTTAGAATAATATTACAAACCTGCAAAGAGAGCTTATAAATAGAGCACTTGCAAGGGAATCATTTATTAAGAATTCTAAGATAAGAAAAGAAGAAGATATTTCTCAAGGAGAGAACCAAGCTTAAGTATAAAGTATATATATATAGCTTAGTAAGCTAGTTCTAATTAGGTATAGAGTATATAATAGAACAAGAACTATTACAAGTATTACCTTTATACTAATTATAATTAATATTTCCAGAAATATAGTATTAGGCTAGCTAAAAATAAATAACTAGGTAAATAAAATACGTATTTAATATCTTATAAAATCCGAGCCATATTAATAGATCTATTATTAAAAGTTAAGAGACTAAAGTAAAATAATTATTATCTAAATCTTTATACTTTATTATATTATTTTTTTAAAAATAAAATTATAGTATTTCTATTTCTTTTATTAAAAGCTTTTAAATACTAAGCTTCTTAATTTATTTTAGGTAATCTTTCTTATAAATATAATTATTTATACCTAAATTAGTAATACTAGAGTCATAAATTTGGATAAAATTAATTAGAAATATAATATTTATATTTATATTTCTTAATTTTCTAGTTTTTATAAAAGAAATCCTATATTTCCTTACTTATCTAAATAATAGAAATATATTTCTTGCTTTTAGTAACTAGCTTTAAAGTATTCTTAATATTATTAATATTTCCTATATTAATAGAGAAAGTATTAGTAAGCTACTAAATATATATTATATAAAAAGCTTTAAAGAATCTATTAATAATTCTATAATATTCTTATTTATAAATAGGTTTTAAAATATTATTATATATTTTCTTAAAAATATATTTATTTTATTAAATAAGTATTAACTTCTATTTAGCTAGTATTTTATAAATATATTAGATATCTTTAAATTTCCCGGATTTAATATTCTTAATCTTTTATTTTTTAGTTCTAAATATAAATACAGGAGTTTTTCTAGATAATATCTTTTTCTTTAAAATAAAAAGTTCTTTTTTACTTATCTCTTCTTTATTTTTCTTTATTTTACTAGCCTTATATTTAAACTAGTATTTAGATTTTTACTATTTATTAGAAGTTTTAGGCTTAACTTAATTTTTTTTTCTTACTAGATTTTTCTTATCTAATTATACTAGTTTTATTAGTTTTATTATTAGGCTTTATTAAATTAGCTTTATTTTTATTAGCTAGATCTAATTAAGTTAAAGCTAAAATTATAATAAAGATCTATTCTTTAAACTTATTTTAGAAAGCAGGAAAAGGCTTATTATTATAAACTTTTTTAATTAGAATTCCGGAAATATTAAAGATATATTATCTAGCTTTAAAATTATTAACTAATAGTAGTTTAAAATCTAATTCTTTAGGTTCTAAATTAGCTTTAGTATATTTAAATATTTTAGTAATATCTAATTTAGTAAATATATTAGTATTCTAATATTTTTTGTTTTTAATATATTCTAAAATAGCTTTATTAATTAATTAAATAGCTTTATATACTAAAGCTTTTATTTTAAAAAGAAAATATAACTTCTTATAAATATTTCTATTAAGCTTATTATAAATATTATTAATATATTAGCTAAAGGCTTTATTATATAATATAATTCTATTCTAACTTTTGGTTTTTAGACTATTTATTATAGTCTTAATCTTATTAAGCTTTTCTTATTTATTTTTAGAAATACCTTTAATAATATTCTCGAATTTCCTATTATTAGCTTAGTAATTCTTTAGCTTTTCTTTAGTTAATTCTAGTTTAGTTCTGTTTTTAATAAAGGTTTTCTATTTTAAGAACTTATTATATATACTATTTAGCTTATCTAAAATATTTATATTAAATTCAATAATTATAGCTACTTTTTCTAGTATTAATAGGCCTTCTATAACTATCTAAGCTCTTTTAATACTCTAAACTTTAATACTATTAATTTATAGGCTTTTAATAATACTATAGCTTATAAGAACTAGCTACTATATTTTATTAACTTAAAGAGTTTATTCTTTAGCTATTTTATTATTTTTAAAAGAATTATAAAAGTATTATTAGTATAATAGTTATAGGTTACAAAATTAAAGATTCTTGAAATTATAAGAATTTCTTTTAAATACTTTCTAAAATAAAAAGTAAATTAGAATAGACTTAAATTATATAAAGATATTATATATATTCGAGTTTTTTCTTTCTTTCTAGTAAGAAAATAAAGCTAAAATAGTAATATATATAATAGGACAAATAG